AAMYKGGCTCTGCACAACACCGGGAGCTACGTTCCCTTCTCTTTGTGATTAGTGTGTGGGTTCTTTAACGTCCCTTGCTAACCGGTACAGAAAAGAAGAAGGAGACGGGACCAAGGGTTTTCGTCCTTATCCGAGAAGACTAGAATGTCTAACCAGTCTATTTCAGATATCATAGCAAAGGCAGCACATTCTCCTCAGCAAGAACCAGAGTGTTGGTCCGGTCTGCGGCTCAAACCCTCATATACCTTATTTTGAGCTCGTGTTCGCTCTAGAATGAGATCAAATAAAGATAGCCTTCCTACATCGAACACCGAATCTTCGTCACCTCCAGGACTTGCCGCCATCTTTATTTTCCCTTCTCTTATTGAACTGTCTCCATCGATCGTCTCCATGGGGATCATGTAAACAAATACACCTCAAGTTCATCAGCGGTTTCCCACAAGCCATGCGCAATAGGTCTATCAAGCGAACACGGAGGCTAAAATGTCGTACAGAGATTTGAGGAGTAAGTGGAAAATCAATAGTATTTATTGGCTTTTGAAAGTTTTTGAGGTTATACCTCACATCTGCATATAAACATACCCATTGGAATGTGATTCAAAGGAAAATAATGGTTGTGTTCCCACAGATTTCACTGAAATGATGCGTGCCCTGGGCTACCCTCGGCTGATATCTATGGAGAACTTTCGTTCTCCAAACTTTGCTTTGGTGGCTGAAGTCTTGATGTGGCTTGTCAAGAGGTCAAGTATTTATTTATGTTTTTAATTACCCTCTAAAAGCAGTTTTAAAAAGTTTTCAACCAAGCAAAAATAAATGAAACCTTCAAAATTCTAGTCATTTCATTACGTACCATTATAATATTACAAACTTAATTATTAGTTATGAGGTGATTTGTTTTTGTATAGGAGATAATTGTAACTCTCTTTAAAGTCGCCCCTATGGTTTGAATCGTTGTTGTCAATCGGTTGCCATTACCTTGTAATAAAAATAAAGGTGATTTAAGAGGAAGACATACCTTAACATTTTATTTAACGCAAGTTTCACTGACAAAAATGAAACGTGGAGGTTTGTGTTTTGCAAAACCAAATCTTAATAATTGTGCACATGAGATGATAAGATTTCCACCAGCCCATACTATTATAAAACAAAGTTATTCACCCAAATACAATCTATCGTTTTTTGCCATCATTTTCTTTATCCAAGAACTGTATACATACAGTGTAATGGAGTATGAGTTGTGCAGAAATCCTGCCCAATAAATATCAGTTGCAAGACACAAGTGATGTTTATCAATTATGATCAGTAAAACTAACTAATTAGAGGGGACAAACAGTACTTGAGTCTACAATTTTTTTCCAAAAATTAATAATTACTTTCACTTGAAACAACAATAGTCTTTTTCTTGACTAGTCTATGCTCGCACTGTACAGCTGTAGATATGTGAGAATTTTAAGCTACTAACCCTATTCCTTACAATTTTGTTGGTGTATGCTCCAGCTAAATTGCATCATGTTCTTGTAAGAAGCCTGGATGACTGCATGTATCATGTACAAAAGTAATTTAAAAAAGTTTGTTTAGTTATTCTACAACTGCTAAATGTAAAAAATAAAAGGAGGTGTATTTTTTTTTAGAGTTGGGTTGTCACAATCCCTATTTATATGATCAGATTGTGTCATTTTCGTTCTATACGATGATGTGGCCAGTTGATTAGTTCTAATGACAGACTCCTTGTAAACTCCTCCTCGAGCTAACATTTTTAGGTTTCATACCCTATGGAATCGATGTTGTTCATTTTCAACCAAGGAACTCCTCATAGTGTGATGACATTATGGGCTAAAAATGTGTTTGGTACCTCAAAGGTATGACCCAAATGTGGAGTTACCCATGGACGTTGATACTGAACAGGACAGAGTGCTGTTCATTAAGTCAGTTGCTCAATTCATGGTATGTTTAACATTATTAGTTTCCAGAAAGTTTTTGCAATTTATTACACAATCAGTTTTATGAAGTATACACCACTAGTCAGGCAATTGTTATCAGTACATCCTTTTGTACTGATAACAGACTAAAATTGGTGCTGGAGTAATGATATTAACTCCGTTTTTTTTATTGTAACTATTATCTTACATGTAATAGTCATAAATGATAAAATTCAAGATCTCAAGAATGAGCAAGAGAGTCAATGAACTCCTTAAGCGATAGGGAATTGCATTAAAAAATGAAGGCTTCTCAAATATCAATATTGATTCTGAAGTTTTCCAAGAATTAACAGAAGTTGTAACCATTTCA